TCTTTCAAAATTGTTTCGAGCACAGCCAAGGCGTTAGTGTTAGGCTTTGTCTTGCACTCTTAGAGCATCTCCAACCTAATTCACACTAAAACACCAAATTTTTCATCAAATATCACATTAGAAGGAATATTCTCAACATATTCTCACAATAAAATTTATTCATCTCCAACCCATTTACACCAAAACACCAAATTTCTACACTGAAATAATTTGATTTCTCAATTATTAGTTCGAATATAATTAGTTTAATATAAAATAGAGCTGGCAAAACTCGGGCCTGGGCCGGGCCTGATCCAGTCCCGGGCCTCGGTCAGCACAGCTCTGGACCCGGGCCGGGCACGGGCCTGAGCTGTGCCTGGGTCGGTTACGGGTCTGGGCCGTGCTTGGGCCTGGGCCATGGGCCGGTTCCGTGTTGGGCCCCAAATTTTTTTTAAAAAGGACCTGAACCGGCCCTTAACAAGCTGGTTCCGGTTCGAGCTAAGCCTGGTTCAGGCCCAGTGAGGCCCAAACCCACTTTTTTCAGACCGGTTCAGGGTTGGTTCGACCTTGTACCGACCCGTGGCCACCTCTAATATAAAATATAACTTGTGATGTAAATAATAAATTTTATTTTTATTAATATTAATTTTATTATAATTTGGGAGAAAGTGGGAGTGGACTAGGAAGATATTTATTTTATTTTATTTTTCAAAGTTATGTTGTATTTTCTGATATCAATATTATGTCGTATTTATTTTTATTTTTATTATGTTCCAGGTTTCATGTATTTGAAATTTGATTTCTCAAGTATTAGTTCTGATATCAAAATAATTTGATTTCTCAAGTATTAGTTCGAACTTAATTAGTTTAATATAAAATAGAGCTGGCCAAAATAATCCGGGCCTAGGCCCGTAATTTTTTCTATTTTTTAAATATATAATTTTTTTTTTATATTGATATATTTTGTTTAAAATAAGATTTGAACACATAACCTCACAATAACCAATTTATGTTCTTTCCAATTAAGTTACTTCAACCACCTAATACATGTGTAATCATTAATATATATATATATATATATATATATATATATATATATAGACACACACACATTACACACAGTCACACACTTTTCTAAATTTAATATTTTTGTTAAAAATAATATTCTAATTATTAATCTTAAAATCTAAAATTAACATGATTTTCTACTAAATTAAAATTTATAAATGACATTAAATTCATTTAAACTTGTAGTCTTGTACTATTAAAAGTTTATATAAGACTTAATATTATTTGATAACTTATAAATATTATAAAATGTAGTATAGTTTATAAAGTTCATTTGATTTTTACTCACTAAATTATGTTAGAGTGATAAATTAAAAATTTATTAAAGACTTTTAAATTGGGTTTGCTTTTAATTTATGGAGAATTGTTTTGAGTAGAAGTAAGAGAGTGTAGGATTAAGAATTTTTGTGTGATAAAAATAAATTTCGTAAGGGTATTTATAGGGATAAATTGGTTGTGTTTTCTCTGGCCTAGGCCCGGGCCAACGTGGGCCCGTGCCAGGGCCATGCCTGGGCCGGTTAGGGGCCTGGGCCATGGGCCGGTGCCGTGCTGGGCCCTGATTTTTTTTAACAGACTTGAACCAGCCCTTAAAAAGCCGATTCCGGTTCGAGCTATGCCCGACTCAAGCCCAGTGAGGCACAGGCCCACTTTTTCCCCAGCCAGTTCAGGATTGGTTCGACCTTGAACCGGCCCGTGGCCACCTCTAATATAAAATATAACTTGTGATGTAAATAATAATTTTTATTAATATTAATTTTTTTATAATTTGGGAGAAAGTGGGAGTGGACTAGGAAATTACTAATTTTATTTTATTTTTCAAAGTTGTGTTGTATTTTCTAATATCAATACCATTTGGGAGAAAGTGGGTGCCGTTTCTTTTCATTAAACAAAATGACGTCGTTTTGAAGCTCGGTGCATAATTGATTATGCCCTACAGTGCACGATATAATTTGCCTTTGAAATAGGGCAAATTATTATGTGCACCATAGTTCACATAATTGTGTGGATCATGAATGTAATATATATTTTTAATATACTAAAAATACATTATTTATGTACTGAAAGTACATTATTTGATAACATATAAAAATTTATGTACTTTTGAATAATGTACTTTATGTATACAAATAATGTAGTTTTAGTATATTAAAAATGTAATTTTTATGTATGATTCACACAAATGTGTGGACCATGGTCCATGGAATAATGATTGATTGAATACAACCGCGGACTCTTATGCCATCGACCCGCGTCCACCTTGCAAGGTGGACACGGGTCCAATACGACGTCGTTCTGTAATTCGGGAGTAACGGTGCCGTTAGTGACACCGTTTTCCCTCCACCAATCAGATTTTTTTAAAAAAATTTTAATTCGTTAAAAGAGTTCAGCTACATAAAAAATTATGAATATACTATTACGTAACTGTGAATATATAGTTTTGTAGTTGTGAATATAGAGTTCAAGAATTTTGAATATAGAGTCCAAAAATTGTGAACATAGAGTTCTATAATTATGAACATAGAGTTCTGTAATTGTGAATATAGAGTTCAATAATTCTGAATATGGAGTTCAAAAATTATGAACATAGAGAGTAATTATGAACATAGACTTCTAGAGTTCAAAAATTATGAACAGAGTTCTATAAGTATGAACATAAAGTTTTGTAGTTGTGAATATAGAATTTAATAATTGTGAAGATGGAGTTCAAAAATTATGAACTTAGAGTTCTATAATTATGAACATAGAGTTCAGTAATTATGAACATAGATTCCTATAATTGTGAATATAGAATTTGGGAAGGAAACTGCCGAATCTGAAGAAAAACGCCATTAACGGTAAAAGAAAGTAATTTTTGTTTTTAAATTGATACGACATTGTTTTCCACCAAAACGACGCCGTTTTGAAACCATATCCACATTGCAAGGTGGACACGGTTCCACTGTATAATTTGCCATAAATAAAGATATTTTTTTGTCATTACACTAATAATAACTATCAATTTAACAAATGCCAATATAGTCAACTATTTAATATTCCCAATTATACAAACTATAATGTCAATAACCTAATGAGGAGGGTGTTTTTTTTTTTTTTTTCGATAAAGATTACGACAAAAATTATAATTATTTCTACTGGAAATAATAGTAATTCATATATATATATATATATATATATATATATATATATATATATATATAATTGTTAATTAAGATATTAATTACAATAAAAATATCTTACCGTACGAAACCCTTAAATATAAATATGAATATTGTAGCATATATATCCCATATACAGAACAAGAAAGTTTAATTCGATCATAACATTAAGAAATAGTAACAAAATTTTCCAATTTTGGTTGTAAAAAAATCTAAATTGGATTTTAATGATTCCCATTTTTATTTGCGGCATTTAATATATAAGCTCCGTACCACGTATATTAAACGATCATTTTTAATATATAAGCTCCAAACCATGTATATTAAATGACAATCGTTAAAGTTTATCCTTTTGTGGACGGGATTACATCTGTCAACGTTAATGATATTTTATAAATTCACTGTTTTTAGATTTTTCTAATTTAACAGTACAATTCATTTTGTTCTATTTTTGAATATTTTTTTTAAAGGTTTATGTATATATCATTACCAAACAAAAGGGGCACCAGCCCTACAAGGAGTTTCTTGGCCCTAAAGTGACCAAGCATCACAACCTAAATGGCATAATGTCTTACAACTTTTAATTCTCTAATGACCAAGTGGCCATTCAGCCTTTACCAACATACTACCTCAAAAGACAAAGCTTGGTCCAAAAGTGACCAAGTGTGACCAACCAACAGGGCCATTCGGCCTTACATGTTACAAAGAACTAACGAAGCCAATCCTACCAAGCTGGGAGCCAAGTCAAGTCCAATCACCAAGTGCATTTCCCCGGCCTCTTTTGGAAGCATCTCATTAAGTATAGCTCACCCCTCTCACCAAGCATTCCACAAGCCATTATCCATTTGCAAGGTCAACCATCCTGATCCATCCATTCCCTTATGCAATACCAGTGGTCTTTTCCTTACCACCGCCCTTCCCTTCATGCCATCCCAAAGAGGGTTCAACCAATGCCCATAAATAAGGACCCCCAAAAGAACCCTAGGTCCCCACCCCAAGAGCGCAAGGTCAACCCCTCCGCACAGAAAACTGTGTCTTAGCCGGAGGGGCCACTGATGCCTTTACTCAAGGCAATGAGACCCACTCTTAGTCCATAAGATGATGCCCCTTATTGGTACCAAGATACTTGCATAAGGAGATCATTTAACCTTAGTGAACTAAGCAATGGTAACCTAGGGTCCCAATCCTTGTCCTATAAGATGAACCCCCTTACTAATGCCAAAGCAATTGCATAAGGAGGCCATTTACCCTTATATGACAAGCGATTGAGAAGCCCATAGAAATCCAATATATGCTCCAGAATTCCAGTATTCATTTCCGTGATTCTTCTTTTCCATACACATAATTTTCATTTTCATTTCATTCTTTTCATTTCAATTCTTCTTTTCCTTTTCTCTTTTTTCAGCTTCAACAAACACAACCCCCTTTCAGGGGATCCCCATCTAGAGCATTGTAGAATCATCCCAGGATGGCAATCTTAGCCCACCAACCACATTCTCCCCAAGACGAAAAGTACCCTTAGCTCATAAGATGGTTACCCTTACTGGTGAAACACTTGCATAAGGGCTCCATTTTGCCTTATGAGCCAAGCAATAACAAGACAGATCAAGATGATTAACCTGCAAACCAAATAAACCCCTACGCATGACACAAGCCAATGGATCAGATTTACTTATAAGATGTGACCTTGGAGGTCAAGGATTCTGACTTGGTGTTAGACTTGCTCCCAGTTCCCAGCTAGCCAGGCCCCAGCTTCTGCTTTGTCCTTTCTTGTGCAGCTTGGTATGAGCCCCATTTTCAGAGGAGACCCTTAAATCCCAGGGTCCCTTGCCTTCTATCATACTGCAAGGCCCTCAAAGAATCAAAACCTGGCAGAGAAATGAAGTGTGGAATGCTTTCCAGGCTTAGCAGATGTGAAAAGCCTTTAGGAAGAACCTCAGCTATCAGGTAGACCTGGTTCTGGCCTTTGGACCTTTCCAACAAGCACTGGGCCAGGCAGTTCACTCTTGTATCACATTTCAGCCACCCAACTTTCAAACCTTTGGTCCAATGTCCTTCACTCAATCCTAGCCGGTCTGGAGATTCCACCTGAATATGATGAATCTTTCTGGATCTGCACCAGTCAAAACAGTCCCCCAGGACTTGTTCTCCTGTTCCCAGTTGTGTTCCTACCAAGACAATATCTCCTCTAGAGTTCCTTATGAAGAAGCTACAACTACCCCCACCTTGAGCTATGTTCAGCTTGACCCAGCCTTTAGGAGGTTTATTCCATCTCAAATCCCTTACAATCCTTGTACATCCAAAGCCTTTGGCCTTCCTTAAAATGTATTCCCAGTTTGGTGGGAAGGACTCCCATGCAGTCCATTTCCTCCTTATACAATCTGCCACACCTCTTGCTGCCCTAAAAATGATCCTGGGAATGGATGGAGTTTGATTTCCATGCATGCACTGATTCAAATGTACCCATAATTCCCAGATGATCAGAACAGGTAATCTTTCAGATATGAATTTTATCAACCTGTTTCTGTGGCCTTTTCCCCACCAATCATAACATGTTTGCCTCAGCTTCCTCACTTGGATTCCAAGTCCCGAAGTCTTAATGAAGTATTTCCAGATCTTGCCTGCTGTTTCCCCTTCACAGAAAGCATGCTGCACATTTTCCCTGCCAGGGTTTCTGCAACAGCTGCACTTTGGTGTTATTTGGTAGCCAAATTTTGTTAAGTTGTCATCAGTTGGAACCTTTCCCTTAAGAACTCTCCATGTCAGGAAGGAGTATTTCCAGGGCAAGTGCTTTGCCCAAATTTTCTTGAACCAAAACTGCCTCTCAGAGTTTTCCCCCCACTTCTGCTTCCTGAAGAGAGCTTTTGCAGAGGCCAAAGTGAAAACTCCATTTTCAGCTGGTCTCCAGTGGGCCTGATCATCCTGGTCATCCTTCAAGACCAGCTTTTTAAGATCATTCTGCACCTGGCTATTCAGATTTTTCCAACTTTTATTGGCATATCTCTCTCTCACAGTTTCATTGGATTGCAATTTGCCCCCTATGTTGTAGGTCTTGGCCACAGCCCCTCTTCCATTCCAATTGTCCCACCAGAAGTTTACTTCCCCTCTACCCAACTTCCAGATTATCTCATGCTCAGTCTTATCTCTTGCCTCAACCAGCCTTTTCCAGACATGTGAGTCTCCATTTTCCCAGGATTTGTGTACAGGGTGTGTTTTACTACAATATTTTGCCTTAATGAAATCCCCCTAAAGAGATTGATCCACCCTGAAGTGCCACCACAACTTTGCACTCCCTGCTTCCACAATTTCCTCCAGACTAGTAAATCCTATTCCCCTAATCTCAACTGGTTTTGCAAGATTTGCCCAGGAACTCCAGTGGTATTTGGCCTTTCCATCCAATTTCCCCCAAAAGAAGTCTGCAAAGGCTCCCTCCACCCTTTTCATCACTGTTTTGGGAGGGCTAACTGCAAAGAAGACATAGGATGGTATTGCCTGCAAAACAGATTTGATCAGAATAGCCTTGCCCCCATGGGACAAGTGCTTGTTTTGCCATCCATTACACTTGGCTGTCACTTTAGACATTAGAGGAGTGAATTGTTCAACCTTCTTCCTGCCCAAGTAAATGGGACAGCCAAGGTATGTGAATGGGAAGTCCTTTTTCTGGAACCTGGTTATCTTTTTGACTTTGCCAATTGCCCCACTTGTGGCTTTAAGATGCATATAAAATGCACTTTTTTCTTTGCTCACCAATTGGTCAGATTGGCTTTCATACATGTTCAAGGCCTCCATAGTTTTAGTCATTGCCCCTCCTTTTGCAGAGGCAAAGATTACCATATCATCGGCAAATGCAAGATGGTGAATTCTAGGAGCCCCCTCAGGTTGAGAAAAGCTGGCTCCAATCTGAGCAATTAAATTGGAGAGCAGTTCAGCTGCAATGATGAAAAGACTGGGGAGAGGGGGTCCCCATGTCTTAAGCCTCTAGTAGCATGAAAAAAACCCTTCTGCTCTCCATTTATTATGACTCAGTACCAAATGTTATTTATTGATCTCTCCACCAAATCAATCCAGGTACCATTGAATCCCAGCTTCCCTAGTACATGTTTGACACAAGACCATGACATTCTGTCATAGGCCTTGGTCATGTCAAGCTTTAGAACCACATCCTCATTAGAAGCTGAGATTCCATGACACATTTCCTGGGCAAGAAGAATGTTATCAGAGATGTTTCTATTTCTGACAAATCCAGCTTGACAAGGAGAGACTACCCTTGTTAAAATTTCAGCCATTCTTTGAACCATGATTTTTGTGATGACTTTACTGCAATAGCTGCTTAAACTAATAGGCCTAAACTCAGAAAAGGATGCTGGATTAGCTACCTTTGGGATAAGCACTATTGCAGTATGGGAAATTGCCTTGGTTAAGGTTTTCCCTTTAAAAAAACTTTGGACCATCTTACCAAAATCTTCCTTGATGATTTCCCAACAGTCTTGGTAGAATCCACCACCAAAACCATCAGGGCCAGCTGCACTCACAGAACTCATGCTAAACACAATGCTTCTGATTTCTAGGGATGGAATGGCAGTGAGATTAGCATTTTCCTCTTGTGTGACTTGTTCCTGCAAACAATTGAAGATAGAAGGGTTAAAGGCTACCTCCTCCTCTTTATAAAGAGTTTGGAAGTAACCAACTGCTAGTTCAGCTATTTCCCTCTGACTGGTCACCCATTCACCCCTCTCATTTTTTATTTTGTGTATAAATTGCTTCCTCCTTCTCTCCCTCACCATCCCATGAAAGTACTTTGAGTTTCTCTCCCCATCTATTACCCATTGAGAGTGGGCCTTCTGTTGCCAAAACCATTCTTCAGTTCTTATATGCCTTTGCGGTTCTGCCTGGGACTTCTTGTATTGTATCAAGCTTTCTTCACAGGGTCCACTTTGCAGCTCTTCCTCTAACACCCTCACTCTCTCCTCTGACCCTTTGGTTTTTTCAAAGATGTTCCCAAACACCTCCCAGTTCCAACTCCTCAACACTCTCCTCACTTTTTTTTAGCTTTGATACAAATCTGTACATCTCATTTCCTGCAAAGTCTTCTTCCCAGCCAGACTTGACCAATAAAAAGGAAAGTTGTTTCCTTCCCATTTTTATGTGTGGCTCCATGGTGACCAACAGGGGAGCATGATCTGAGGTGGATTTGAAAGGTGCTGGACATGTGTTTTTACTGCAGATTCCTAGTTCCCATTCACTACACATCTATCCAGTCTTATCCAAATGGCTTGCTCCCTAGCTCTTCCATTCCACCAGGTGTACAAATTGCCATAGAATGATACTTCCCTCAATTAAGCTTCATCAAGGCAAAGCTGGAATTCCTCACTCTTGTTTTTGTCATAAGGATTTCCCCCTCTCTTCTCTTCCGGATTCAAAATGCAGTTGAAATCTCCCATCACAGCCCAAAGTTCCCCTCCAGTTTGCCCTTGTGCAAGGTTTACAATGTCAAGCCATAAACCTTGCATTAATCTTCTGTTGCAGCTTGCATAGACAAAGGATATTATGATTTCCTTCTGAGATCATCTGATCACTCATGCCAACCATCTGAGCAGCTGTTCCAGGGCTCCAAAGAACCCAAATGTGTTCATTGCCAACCCAATTGTTACTATTCCAGCTTTGTCAACTGTTCTGAAAGGTTCCAAAATACAAACAAGGAATGGTTTATGTATTCTTACCAAGTTCCTTAACCTGTGAAGGGAGCCTTCAGATCCCACTCCCCTCACATTCCAACAGATTATCTTCATCTTGATTTTTTTGAGGAGGAGCCTTTACCCCTCCCAGCAGGAACCTTTAAACCTTTTGCAATAGCTTTTTTCTCTGACTTAGTTAGTTTTCTACCAGGTGAAGCATGGATTTGATCCAGGAATCCCTGATTCTCATCTTCAATTTCCAGTCCCCTTATTTCCCCCTCCTCACTCTCCAAGTCTTCACTCAATTCTTGTTCCTCCACATAATCAGGGTCTTTGATTGGTCCTGGATCATCCTCTTCTGCCCCCAGGTCTCCCATCTCATTTCTGTCTCTCAAAGTGTGAAAGGTGTTGTGGTTTGCCCCTATTTTCTCAGGTTCTGTTTGGGGTCTTTTCCTTGTATCCCTCTGCTTTGTCTCCCTTACAACATTCCATGTTCCCTCTGGTTCTGTTTCTTTAATCTGCCCCTTTTCCATTTGTCTTTTTTCTTGTTTTTCTAAAACTTTTTCCACTTTTTCACCTTCTTTTTTCCCCTCAACCCCCCTTCTTTCCTCTGCTTGCTTGCTGGCTTCAGGTTGGCACTGGCTTAGTGCCTCTTGTTTCTGTTTCTGTTTCTCTCCTGTTACCAGGCTTGGTTGTGCCTGGTGGTTTCTCCCATTTTGTGGGTTCATTGTCTTTCCCTGACTAGGGCCAATGCTTGGGTTTTGCCCTCTGGATCTTCTACTGTTACTCCTAGTTCTGTTCATGTTTCTTGTCACTGACCTGCCCCTACTTTGTTGGACTTCTTCTGCTTCTGTACCTGCATTGGCAAAACTTGTGCCACCAACAAAGCCACTTCTGCAGACCTCTGCAGAGTGCCCTTGCTTGAAGCATTTGGTGCAATAGTAGGGTATTCTTTCATAGATGATCTTTTGGGTATACCCTACATCTTCTTTTCCAGGGCAATTAGAGAAGCCTATAAAAATCTCATTTACATGAGGTTTCAATAGGTCAATCTCTATCTTAACCCTAGCATAGCTTGGCCTAGTGTAATTCAAAGTTGCATAGTCTGCAGCTAGGAATTTCCCAATAGGCTTACAGATTTGTTTTAGGACAGAAAGATTGAACAGATTTGCACTGAGCATTGGCAGCCTCACCAAAACTGGGGCAAGGCTAGTTTCCTTCTCTGTGGAGAATCCTAGAGCCCACCTGAAGAGTCTCATTGGATGTCTCCCATTGAAGAGGATTTGGTCCATCATGAGAATTTTCACACAATTCTCCTCTTGTGAAAAGGCAAGAGTGACATGTCTAGTGTCCAACCAACCTATCACAAGAGTGCCTTTGAGTATGTATTTGGCTTCAAAATGTTTCCTGATTTCCTCCATAGTAGGCCTGCCTCTAGAAAATTTTCCAATTAATAAATGGTCTCCTATTTGATTCAATTCTTCAACTTCACATTCTTCTAGTCTTATAGCAGGCAGGCCTCTATGCATTTCAGTATCTTTTTCTCCTATGACAGCTTGGGGAAGCCCAGCAAAGTCCCCCCTCCTGATCTATTACCTTTGGTAAAACATGAGGCAAAGCTTTGCCTTCCCTGCTCCCCCAAACTGCCATTTTTCACATTCATGTTCAGAGTGCCTGGGCCAGTACTACTTGGTCCCCAGGTCACAACTGTTTGTGGCCTTTTGGTAGCAATGTAAGCTGCTTGTGGTTGATTTGTGGGAATTGCCTTAGGGGCACTCTCACAACCAGTTTTTAAGCAGTCAACATTGCTATCACTAGGCTTTTTCATTAAAGCATTTTCTCGAACAGATTGCATACCTGATTGTGTAGCCGTTTTTCCTTCCATGGCCTGCTTGTTCTCAGTCCAAGGAGGTGCTGGGAAGTCCTCTTCCACCACCACCCCCTTAACTTTCTGATTCTCCATCAAATCGCTGTGAATTTCACCCACATTTGGTACCTCTCCACCTCCAGATTGCCTCTCATTGGCTTTCGATCCTAGCTTTCCAGTCTTAGTAGAGACATTCGAGGCATTTGCCTGAGGCTTCTCCCCTGCCTCCCGGATAGGACTCTTATTCGGCTTTTCCTTCTCCTCTTTAGAAGTCTGGTTCGCGAATTCTTCATCCGCTGCTCTCATTTCTGCAATTAGTAGCCCCTTATATTTGTTTCGCAACTTCTCCATGACCTTCCTCTCAAGGTTGCAGTTTCCAGAGAGCTTTTTCTGGACGACCTTTGTCGCTTCTTCCATGAATCGCTCGGCTATAATATCCTCCATTATCTCGTTATTGTTTGCTGCTTTCTCCATAATTGCATCCAATTCTTCAATATCGAAGATCACCTCATATTCCCGAAATCTCAGCGGGACTTTGCCCTTATTTGAATCGCCTGAGGCTTCCGATTGCGTGACCGAGATACTGAGCTCTCGTCCAGGCGTCGATTTTCGCTCCAATCCAGGGGAATCAGGCCAGGTTCTCTCATCGGAGCTCTGATTTTGCTCTGGTTCGGCACTATCGTGATCCAGAGCCTCCGGTTTAGGAATAATGATCACATTTTCTTTGACCAGCAAACAAGTCTCTTGACTTTTTTTCAGCTTTGAGAAGACGGAAAAATGTATTTCAGTTCAAAAACAATACAAAACTTTACAATATAAAGAAGAAGATGAACGGTTATGGAAAGTAGGAGAAAAGACTATAAAAGCCCTATACTATTTATTTTCTATTTATTTTTATCCTCCAACATGATGAGTGTCAAAGTCTTTTCTTGATCTTGAATCTTTAAGCCTTTTGAGATTTCTCTCTCTCACTCTCCATCTAGAATATTGCTTGTCAGCTCGCGTGTATGCACTTGAATATCTTGTTCTTTGAAATTGACTTGCCCCTCATTCAGACTTGAATGGTGGTGCAATCTCTTAATTAATCTAATTAGGGAAGACTCTTCCTTTCATTTGATTCTCAAGGGACATTAAACAATTAATGAGTGAATTTATGATTGCTAGTTTTAGGGGGGAAAGAAATCCTTCAGCTTGTAACGTAACTATTTTAAGTAAGCATTGTTTACGACGTCATAGAGGGAACAATTGGTGTGAGTCCCTTCAATTAGCTAGCTCATTCTGAAACCTTCCTAAGCTTTCTGTAGTATACAACTGCAACAGTACTACCAAAACAGATCATCAGATAAAGTAGTTCATGGTGGCGGAAATCAGCAATTTACAAATGGAAGCCAATTAAGGCAAGCAATTTACTTTTATTAGACAGTGCATGTGATTAGCGAGAGACAACAACGTAGTAGGGAAGCTAAGACAATTAGACAAACATCTTCGATCAGCAAAACCATTACCCTTTTCGTGAAGACGTTTTCAACGTGAAGATCATATTATGCATGCAAGATACACATTGTACATTGCTTACCTCGTTTCTTCACGCATTATCATCATACGTTAAATATTACGGTTATCACGGAAACGCTTCGCCGAAACCCGCCGGTTTTAGCAACGATACGCAGTATAAATAGAGTTAATTCCATTTTTGGTTCTAGACTTATTAGGGTGTCGACAATTTTCATCCTCCATAATTAAAATTGCCATTTAGTAGCCACCGTTATTCAACGGTGGACACTTTTGCTCCTCTGTGAACTTCTCCGTCTCTTGGCCGATTAAATCAGATTATTGTGTTTTTTGGCTTTTTTGTTATGAACAGCATGAGTTTTAGAAATTCTAAATGGACATTCAGTGTAGACCAACTGAATAGAGTGTTTCCTAGAGGGAAAGTTCGTTAAGTTCCTAGAGAGAGAAAACAACTTTTTTATTCAGATTGTACTGTGATTTAATTTTATTCTATATGTATATTTTAAACAAGTCGTTTGTGAGGAGAACTCGATTTTAATTTGTATGTGTAAAGTGATGAAAGTAATTGTAAAAGTTAAGGTTGCGTCGCACGGGAGTTGCACGGCGTTCGAAGAAAAAACCAACAAGACTGTTTGTGGGATTAATGGATATTTAGATGAATTGATGAATAACAAATCAATGCCGGACCTGCTATATTATATTTGTCGTCACCCGATTTGCTATAGAATGAATTAGAATTTATATTGTGGACCGCGGTCCACAAAATTTTGTGGCACGCCGTCCAAAATTGGCGATGTTTCATTAAGTAAAGAAACAGCGTGCCATTTCTAAGTCCAACGAAAAGCTTGAACTTTAACTGAATTTTTATGTAAAAGATTTTGTAGCGGAAAGTTAGCCCATTTTTAAAACTTTTGCACGTATTTTAACCTTATCAAGTTTTAGGTTTGGTTGTTTGGCTGGAAAGTAAATAAGGGAGCTTGTTATTAAAGAAGCAATGTGATGATTACTTTTTTTAAGCTAAGGAATTAGACCACATTAAAATGTTCTAACGAAATTTATGTGGCTCATCATCTAGAGTTTAAATTTAGTATGAAATTATGACATTAAAAAGTTTTGATCAAATTTATATCAATGTTTCAAATTCAGTATGAATTTATGACATTAAAAAGTTTTGATCAAAATTATTTCAATGTTTCAAATTCAGTATGAAATTGTCAACTTTGAAAGGTTTAACTGAATTTATGATGGCTAGCTAGTTTTAGTGGGAAATAAATCATTCAACTTTTATGTTTAACTTAGTTTCTAATTAACTTTATAGAGAATGTAACTATTTTAAGGAAGTACTCTATCTCTTTTTGAAATTCCATTATTGTTTACGGCATCATTGAGGGAACAATTGGCGTGTATCCCTTCAATTTCATATGTAAAACTTATTAAGTCCAAGGAAAAGCTTGAA